GGGTGACAATTGACCTACTTGTTTGACCCATATATACGCTACTGATTCCTTATTACTTAAACCACTTTCATTACAATTCATATTTATTTAAAAATACAATTTATGTTAAAAGTAGAAAAATAACACATTCATAATAACACATTTATTTTATATGGATTCATTCAAATATAAAGTTTATTACATATAAGTAAACATATTTTCTATAAATAATGATATTTTAATTATAGCTTTTTAACCATTAATTTACATACACCATTGTATACAATTTTACATACATTACTTATTTAAAAAATACAATAAGATAAACTATATTAACAATAATATAATTAAATAGAAGACTTGTTAGAAATATAATAGTTTTACTAAGGTGACAGTCGATAAAATGCCCAGCCATTTTCACCTAATTTACAAACACTTTGATATTCACCGGCAAGTTCAGAACGCACAAATTTAATACGATCGTGAAGTCTGTCGCTCTGTCCTTGCCAAAATTCTATATTATGAGGCAATATCTTGTATCCATTCCTAAAAACAACAAAAAATTAATAAATTCATGTCTATAAACAGCAGTGTACACAGGATTATAGAAAATTAATACTATTAAAATATTTTATTTTATTTTCTTAATTTTGAAATCAAGATCTTCTTTTTCTTTTTCCTTGCCTTAATCCCCATACTTAGGGGATGGCCACCCTTATCCTAAACTTTATTAGTTTATTTAGTTTATCCTAAACTTCCACATGACATGATCTCCCACATCATCTACACTCACATCAGCCATCCCCATTTTGCATTTAATAACATCCCTCAATTCTTTTTGGTCTTCCTCTACATCTTTTTCCTTCAACATTTATTTCTATAACTGTTCTTACAGCTTCCGATTTCTCTCTCCTCATAATATGACCAAAACCATCTAGTCTATATTCTTCTATTAACACTATATCTTCAGCAAACAACATGCACCATGGAAACCCCTTCTTGTATTTCTCTAGTAATTTCATCTATCACTACAGAAAATAAGTAATGGCTTAAAGCAGAACCTTGGTTCACTCCTACTCTTACCCAAAAACCTTCTGATACTCCTCCTTCTTCCTTCTGTACAAGTGCCATCATACATATCTTCTATTAATGTACCTTTTCAGGATTTGTTTTCTCATTAATGCCCAATTTAAAACCTCTCTCAGTACTCTATCATCCGCTTACTCTAAATCTATAAATAACAAACACAGCTTTTTCTTTTTTCCCTAAATTTTTCTATTAGTTGCCTCACATAAAATAATCAAGATAATTAAAATGATAAAAGTCAAACTTAAATAATTCATGGTTTATAAAATAAAATAATTTAAATTGATACTTAATATCAATTTGAAATTTTGAAAAAGTCAATAGCACTTTTAACAATTATAAATATTAAAAATTATTATCTATACTATTACTATACTTTGCTAACTTCTCCAAAACTAATGAAAGGATTTTTGAAAATTATTACAAAAGTATATATATAAAACTATCAATAGCTTTCAGAACATTTGGGATGTTACATTCGAGTTATTTAATGTTACATCCGAGATGTCATATTAATTAATTACTTTTAATCAAAATAAATAAGATACTAACCAATAACTTGGTCTTGGAACATCTTTGTTCTCAAATTCCATTATAATATTTTCGGTTAATTTCTTTAAGGTATCCCGGTTGGGTATTACAGAACTTTGATGACTTACATGTGCCCCTATCTGGCTACTTCTGGGTCTAGTTCTGAAATATTCGTTTGACTCCGATTCGGAGACTTTTACTACAGGACCCTCGATTCGCACCTAAAGAACCAATATTATAAGTATGAAATGTTAAATGATAATTTATCGTATTGTACCGATCGATTTAAAGGATCCCAGTAAATTGTCAAAGCAGCAACGGGATTTTCTTCCTATAAAAGTAATATTTATAACTTTCTATTATATCTTTACAAAAGTCATTAAATATATATATATTACCAGCTCTCTGCCCTTTCGACTGCATGAATTCGTGTAAAACGTAAAACCATATTCGTCATATGATTTGAGCAACACAAACCTTGCAGATGGAATTCCATTTCTATTAAATTTGATAAGCGGAGAATTAAAACAATATAACAATATTATAATTACTAAGGAGTGTATTTAACTTTTCATGGAATATATCCAAGCATTTAAATATTTGTATTCATCAACGTTTTAACTATCAAAAATATATTTAACCCATCTTATTAAAAAAATGTAAAATTTATTATAAAAAAATATAAATTTAATAAAAAAATAATAAATTTAATATATTAATGTCTAAAACTCTCCCTAAATATATAATCTATTATTTTACAATGCTATAAACATAACTAAATATTTTTTTTTTTAATTATTACATCATCAATATTTTATTATAAACAATCATTCAACAAATTTTATTTTTAAAATTATAGAATGGTTTTTACACATAATTATTTGAAATTATCATGTTATTTTACTTTGTGGCGGTAGCTAAGCAAGCTGCATTTGGCTGCCTAACGTCACTGCATTCAGAAGCATTTTGAAACCACGATGAAAAAAGTTTTATTGGATCCTTTGATTCCAAATTTTCTTCAAGAAACAAATCATCATTGCTACGATATGCGACTCGTTTTTCTAAAAATAAATGAGAAATGACGATATTCCTTCCAGGCATATATTTAATTTAGAAATGAAGACTTTACAAAGACTTCGGCATATGTTACAAAATTAAATTTTTCAGGAAACGAAAAAAACAAATTAGATATCTTTGGAATCGTCAAACAAGTGCTGCTATTTTCCAATTCTTTTTAAATATATTTTATGTACTAAAACATTAAAATATTATATACACCGAAGTCTTTGTAAGTTTATTAGATAATTATTAAAATTTTACTAAAAAGTAAAATAAATATTTAAATGGGAAGTGTAGCTGAGTCAGCAACATTAATTAACAGATTTTCTTTTCTCTTGTCTTTATCCTAACTACTTGAGGTCAAAAAAAACCACTCCACGATTGTTTTTCTATGAGAAATTTAAGTTTATTTTTTACAATTTAGCAGTTGTAAAAATACAAATATTTGTGAAATTTAACAGATTTGCATCAAAGAGTATTTTATGACAGTGATGTTTTAATCAATGTCTGATAGCATCTATACTTGTTCCAAGTATATAGCATCCCAGATTATCAAAGTGTTGATTTTTTTTCTTATTAATATAAATATATTATCGACTATAAAACATAAAAACTATGACCTATAATTGAAATCCAAGAAATATAAGTATCATTTTTTAATTTGAGATAAATTCGAGTTTTTGTTATTCCATAACACCACGTAAAACACAAAATCAGTTTTTCATGATTTTTTGCTAAATAGAATTATTAATTAAATACTAATTGTTTACTGTCATTTATGTTTCTGCATTCTATGTGCCTTTATTAGTATCTTTAATGAATACTATCTTACTAAATGATTACACTTGTCAACAAGCAATTTTCAATAGAGATAAAAATATACTTTCCTAAACAAATTTTTTATATTGATTTTAAATCTCCAATTAGATTTTTCTTTCATAACATTTCACAATATTCTGAAACATTTTCAAACATATCCAGAATTTTTTTTTTTTTAATCTCTTATAGATGTAAAAAAATGTATGAAAGGTTCTCTTCAAATCCAACCTGTAATTGGGTTTTTCATAAAAAGTATACTGAAGCTTTACTCTAGTAAAGTTAAGTAAAATATGTTGTTAGAATTAATATTTATGAACAAAAATTATAATTAAAATGCAGAAAATTTGTTTTGAAAATGCCATTTGTACGAAATATTTTTTTAATATCTAAAATTGAAGGGCTTTTTATAAATTGTCAGTGCTAACAAGTTCAGTTAGAACAAAATCAAGTTCTTTTGACGCATAAACCAACAAAATTGGTCTAGTGAGAGCTGAGAATTATCATAGTCATTAAAGTAATGCACATAAAGGTAAATAATATGTACTTCAATACATATTTAAAATATATATTGAGAAATTCTTTTTTCAACAAAACAAAATTTAAAAAATTCATTTTAAATAAAATCTACTTTTTGTTTTTATCATAAAATTCCTTAGCTCTCACTGAGTCCATGTTAATGGCTTATATATCAAAAGAACCCAAATTTTATCTAATTAAAGATATCACCTTCAAAATATATAAAAACTTTTCAATTTAAGAAATTTAATATGTCTCCACCACGAAGTAGTAATACATTCAAATTAATCTTTTAATATAAATATAAAATATTTGTTATAAATAATGGTTCAAGAGATATCATCGACCAGTCATTTTTTTAATTTTAATCTTGTTAAACATATATGCTTTAAAAACTAAAGTTGATACAATTTTAAGGGTATAAAAGATGAAATAGAACTATAGTTTTTAGTGTTAATTAAAGTTTGTAGGATACTAATAATTATTGAAAACACAAAATTATATTTTTTCTTATACTTTTAAACATACTGCGTGAATCATAATTAGGAGATCACCTGTATAATTCAATATTATATAAATGTATATCTACAATACAGAATAATTATTTATTTTCTTTTATATATTTTTTATTACAGGAATTTTTTTGGATTTATTCTTCGATTTTTCATTAAAGAGTGAAGAACTTGAACTTAAAAAATATGATAAAGCTTGATCTATTATTATTTATTATAAAACATTACCTTACAATAAATAAAATTTGCATAATTTTCACGAACATTTTATACACCACTAACAATAATTGACACTTTATTTTAAAACTCAACAACACGTAACATAAAAAAATGTTAATAATACAGCTAAGTTATAGTAAGGTTAATAGTCCATAAAAAGTGTAACAAATATATATATATATATATAAATATATATAATTTAAGATTACAATGAACTATATAGTCATGTATATTTAAAATTTCTAGCAAGTATAAGAAAAAAATTTGTGACACTAGACATAATGCTTATTAAATTATTATTTATTTCATAATGAAAGCTAAATATTTTTTACTAAAACCAAAATTATACGATATAAATAGAAATATTAATAATCTAAATCTAATCCCACCAATAATTATCACAGTGGTAATGGGAATGTCGCTTTCAAAGTAGCGATACTTTTAGCATAATAATCAGGCACCAATTCTTGTAGTTCTGGATCATCAGATTTACTCCATTTATCAATTTCTTCAAAAGTATTTACACCAGTTAAAACCAAAAGTGTTTTAAACCCGCAACGTTTACCCAGTAAAATATCAGTGTTGCAACGGTCACCAATCATTATAGTTCTTGTAGGATCAATATTATAAGTATCCATAAGAACTTTTCGAATGTAACTATAAGGTTTGCCAACCACATAAGGTTCACGACCAGCACAAGTTTTTACTGTACATACTAAACTTCCTGTACCAGGCATGATGATCTTTGTTCCAGAGACTGGAAAACTTTCATCAGTATTTGTTGCAACAAACAAACAACTCTGATCTTTCAAATAAGATGCTGCTTTGAAGATTTTTGGATAACTAAAATGCTCATCAAATCCAACTAAAACTGCTCCTACATTTTCTTCAAGTTGTACATTTTCTACAAATGTTGGCACAGAACTTTGTAAATAGTCTGGCCCTACGCCAAAATGATTTACACCCACTTCATTTAATTCACTAGCAATAGCAGGTGAACCAATAACATATACTTTTTTTGATGGATCAAGATTGGATTTCAAATATTTAGCAGCCAAAAAACTAGTACTAATTATATCATTTTTAGAGGCCTTAAATCCAAGATTTGTGAACTTCTCTAACAACTGAGTTTGTGTTTTTGTGCTATTGTTGGTAACATAAAATACTTTTTTGCCATTAGACTTAAAACCATTCATTACGTCAGGTGCTCCATGTATTACTTGATTTAACATCCATAAAACTCCATCACAGTCAGTGAGTACATTGTCGAATGAAGCAAAGAATTGTTGACGGCCTTGTTCAGACAATAAATCTATACTTGTGGTGGTCTTCATCTTGATGTTTAGATTCCTAACAAATAAAAACGTCGAAATAGATTTTGTAAACATGACCGTTGTCAACACACTACTGAAAGGTTATTACATGCTCTAATAGTGTTATGCTGATTAAAATAAATAATAAAAATATGGTAGTCAATTTATAAAAATTTAGCAAAAGAAAATATAAAATATATCATAGTAAGAAGGAAACTTAAAAAAACTTACGTGCAAAATTTGAATCAGCCATACGAGGTAAATTAATAAATAAACGGCGAACTATTTGCTTAAACGAATTGGTACTAAAAGTCATCAAATTTCAATACTGCAATTGCGTAGAAAATGAAAATATTAAAAAGAAACAACTAAAAAATGTTTAGAGATAGTTCCAACAGAATACTGATATAGCCTTTTGAATATTAATAAAAATTAGTTCTCAATACTCATCTTAGCTCGCTTTAGGTGAAATACTCCAAATCAGTTTATCAACTTAATATCCAACAGATGTTTATGAGTCAAAAGGTTACGATAGCATGGAAAAATGTAGTTTTTTTCATGAATGTGATATAAACCTTGTGATGTATTTCATATCATTTTTTGAAAAAGTGATAAGTAGTGTAACAAATGTCTATTATTTACAGTATTTAATATTAGAATAATAATTTTTAATCAAAAATTATCGGTATAATTGAGACAATAATTACAGAAAGTACCATTATGACTTCAGAAATTACTAATAATGTCTCTCTTAAGAGAGAACTAAATGAAATTGGAAATGATGATAAATGTAAAAAAGTAAAAAATGAAGATTTCGATGAGCCAATATTATCAAAAAGGCAAAAGAAAAAAATTTTAAAGCAACAAAAATGGTTAGAAACCAAAGCCAAACGAAAGTAAGATGTAAATAACCAATTTTTCTCATTTATCTTAATTAATTCTTTTATAGAGAATTCAACAAAGAAAAAAAGAAAGAAAGAAAGAAGTGGAAAGCTGACATGAAAGCAGCTGGTCATGAAATAATTAAAGTCAAAACTACAAAAATGAAAGAAAGCTCATGCAAAACACGTATTGTTTTGGACATGTCTTACGATCATTTGATGTCTAATAAAGTAATTAAATGTCTCTTAATTTTTGATGAACAAGGCGACTTAATAATAATGCACCACTTAGTTATTCAAAATTAAAAATAATATCAATAATTTGTTTATTAGTTTAATATTTCTCTCAATTTTTAATCAATAATTTTTTATGTTTATCCTTTATAGTTTATAAGAGTGTCAATTTTAATTTTTCAAATGCAACATACATATTTAACTAGCTTATTTAATAGATAATGATTTAATTAAGAAAATGCTAGTTGATATTAACTTTTGCACCAGTATTTTGGAAGTTATTGTCATATTTATATATAGGTAAGAAAAATAGTAAGGTCAAGAAATTGAGAGATTATAAAAATGGCAGAACCCACTTTTCACCACCTTTTAATACTTTAAATTATTAATAATTTCTGAAATATTGGTCAAAATATTGTTATTACTAGTCATTTTCTTAATTATATCATTATCTAATAAAAAAAGTTTGTTAATTATGTGTATTGCCATTTGAGAAATTAAAGTTAACATACTTATAAGGTGTAAGAGATGAACATGAAAAAAACTTTATGATTCATACATTGAGAGAAACATTGACAAAACTCATAAAAAAATCATAAGTATTATTTTTATTTTTTGATTAAATGTCACTTTCTATATAGCTTAAAACCAAAGTTTTTCATGAAATCATTAATTTATTAATTGACAATAAAGTAATTTTAAATTCTTTTTGCTCCTGAAACTGATTATTATAAGATCTAATTACAATTAAATTAGCTTGAATTCCAATGCCCAGTTTTAAATAAAAATAATTTTAAAAAATGTCCTAATAAATAAAACATTTTATTTTTAGTCTTGTAATAGTACCTTAACATTCTTTATCACATAAATTTTTTTAGGACCTATGTAAGTGTTCAAATCAAATACTTAGATGTTATGGATTGAACCGAAGAATGAAAAATCCAATGCAATTATATTTTTGTAGTTTCGAAGGAAAAGTTAAAGAAACTATGTTGAAACACAATGGTTATGAATACTGGGATGTATGTTATTTTTATTAATTTTTCCTAATTATACTATGATTCATTTTGAAATAATTTTGATTACTTAAAATTTATTATTTTTAGATAATTGTTCATTTTTAATATGTGTTATTTTTTAGATAAATTATATTGAAGAATCTTTTGATAAAATTTTCAATAAAGAAGAACTTGTATACTTAACCAGTGATAGTAATAATATATTAAATACCATTGATGAAAATAAAGTTTATGTTATAGGTGGTCTTGTTGATCATAACTCATGTAAAGTAGGGTTAAAAAATTAATTTTTTTTTTTTTATAATAATTATCCATCTAATTATTTAGGGTGCTAGTCTTAATCATGCTGAGCAACTAGGAATTTCTCACGCTCGTTTACCTATAAATGAATATATTGATATGAAAACAAGAAAAATTTTAACAATCAATCATGGTTAGTTACATAATGTGTTTGTTTATTTAATTTTGAAATAATATCTTTAATTACTAAAAAAGCCTAATTTATTTTGCAATATCTTTACCTGAGATAAAAGGCATAGAAATTGTATCTGTACTAATTAATATTATTAAATAATTTCACATTATGTGTGAATGGGATACCATGACCACATTAAGATCTAAATACTTGAGAAAATCTTTTGTCGATAAAGAAGATGTCAAAAACATAAAGCCCAAAAAGATACTTAACTTTGTCAGAGAGAAAACTTTTTAAGTATGTACAGAAGTGGCCTAGTAAGACATCCTAAGTATTTCTAAGTGATTTACTTAGAAACATATCAATTATATATTTTGTAGAAGTGTGTTAAAAAAAAAAAAATAATTAAAAAATAGGTTTAAAACATTTATGAACATACCTTCTAACCTTCATACATTCTATTCTTTATATTCACCTGGAAATAATTTAATAATTTGTATTATTTTATAGTTTATGAAGTTATATCAAAAGTAGTATCTGGTGATTCATGGAAAGATGCTTTAGTAAGTACACTACCTAAACGTAAAATATTCTCAGCCAAATGTGATGACTCTTGTGATAACGATGAAGTTGTATTTGAAAACCTAGAAGATGTAATGAAGTTACCAACTGAAAAAAATGAACTTTTAAATAAAAATCTAATAATTGATCAAAAAAAAAAAGATGTAGTACTTTAAAACAAAAAAAAATTGTATATAATCATTGGACAAATGTAATCTTTAAATAAAGAAACAATTATTTAGAACTTGTTTGTTGTCATTAATTTATTTTTAAATTATTATTTTGAATACATTCAATTTATTATTGATAGACCATTCAAAATATGTATTCAAAGTTAAAGTTGATCAATATATTATTTTATCTGAAACCTAGTGGGACTAACAAGTGTTGTTTTATAGTAGTTTTAATATAAAAGGGAAATTTGATAAGTATTAATTCAATTTATTTAATGTATTATTATAATTGTTTTACTTTTTCTAAAGTTATTAAAACTTAATAATAAATACTTGGTTTTATAAGAAATGTATTTATTTCTACATTTATTAACATATTTGTTACCATTAAGTCAGATAAATATCTTGAATCTATGAAAAAAAACTGTAGCACAGTGGTGATGTGGCATAGTTGAGACTAGCACAAATAATATCCGACAATGATTAAAATCACTATGATAAGAAACACTTAGATACAGATTTGTACATATTGCTTAATCTTAAAAATGTGATGCATCAAGCCAAAAGCAGTTTAATTCTTTTTTAATTAATTATATTTTGATAATTAGTTATTTATTTATACATATAATACATAATAATAATAATTACTTATTATAGTAATTAGATTTAGTATAAAATTGTTTTTCAATAATGTAATATTGTAATTTTTACGGAAAAGTTATAAAAAATTATGAAGTCTTCTTCTTCTTCCTCGCCTCAATCCCAACTACTTGGGGTCGGCCACTCTTATCCTAAACTTCCATTTGACACGATCTCCCACATCATCTACGCTCACATCAGCTGTCCTCAAATCGCATTCAATAACATCCCTCCATCTCTTTTTTAGTCTTCCTCTACCTCTTCTTCCTTTAACATTAATTTCTATAACTGTTCTTACAGCTTCCGATTCTTCTCTCCTCATAACATGACCAAACCATCTAAATTTATTTTCTCTCATCTTATCCACGATTGATGCTACACCTATACTCCCTCTTATATGTTCGTTCCTTATTCTATCTTTTCTAGTCACTCCACCCATCCATCTAAGCATTCTCATCTCTGCTCTACTTTCTTATCAACCGCCCAACACTCTGAACCATACATCATAGCTGGTCTCATAACAGTCTTGTAGAATTTACCTTTCAGCCTCATTGGAATTCTTTTATCGCATAAGACGCCAGACGCTTCTCTCCACTTCAACTACCCGCACTTAATTCTGTGTCTTACATCCTCATCAATATCACCACTCTTTTGCACAACTGACCCTAAATACTCAAAACTCCAATCACGTCTTCGCCTATTGTCACTGACCTCCTCATTTCTTCTACCTCGTGTTCTCCTTTGTCAAAATCGTACTCTATACATTCTGTCTTACTTCTACTTATTCTTAAACTCTTTTCTTCAAGAGCTGATCTTTACACCTCTAGCCTTTGATTAATTTTCTTCTATTAACACTATATCGTCAGTAAACAACATGCACCGCGGCACCTCTCCTTGTATTTCTCTAGTAATTTCATCCATCACTATAGAGAATAAGTAATTGCTTAAAGCGGAACCTTGGTTCACTCCGACTCTTACCCGAAAACCTTCTGATACTCCTCCTTCTTTCATCTGTACAAGTGCCATCATAAATATCTTCTATTATATTAATGTACCTTTTCAGGATTCGTTTTCTCATTAATGCCCACTTTAAAGCCTTTTTTGGTACTCTATCATACGCTTTCTCCAAATCTATAAATACCATACAAAGCTTTTTTTTTTCCCCTAAACTTTTCTATTAGTTGCCTGACACAAAATACTGGCTCCATTGTTAACTTACCAGACATAAATCCAAACTGGTTTTTAGATACCGATATCTCATTTCTTATTATCTTATCTATTACCTTTTCCCAAATTTTCATGCTATGACTCTTAAGCTTTATGCCTCTATAAAGTCCACACTCCTGTATGTCTCTTTTACCTATAAATATCGTCTCTTGTTGTCCCCGCGCACGTCCGAGATGGGACAATTCGCCTAAGTTTTGTTCAGGACTTCTCATACTTTTTGACAAAAATTTTACGCCAGCTGTCAACCAAATGCAACCTCATTACTCGCCTCTTATGACTGGCAGAGGGACCGTGGAAGTATTCTTATACCCTAACCACAGGAAAAATAAAATTATAAATTCATTTAAAGATTAATATTAATACTATATAATATAATGTTGATTAAAATTATAGGAAATAAACTGTTTAATTTGTTATCACTGAAAAATAATAATCTTACATATAGTACAGTGCAGCCTTCCGATTGTTTGTTATCGTGAATATGAAACGGCGTGTCAACTATGCAATTTAGCTACATGAATGTCTTAATTTCATTAATTTGTCTAGTATTTCTTATAAACTGTTAAGTTTTTTTAGACTCAATGCCTAAATACTATAAGTATTTTAAATAAAATTGACATAATGATATCTTACATACACCGAATAATAAATAATACTAAACCTCTTTAGTCAGAATTAATGGAATTTCTAGAATTTCAGTTCAATTCAAGGTTTTCATTACAAGCAAAATTTGTCTGTAAGAATAGGACGACAAAAACTATTATTCTCTTTTAACTTCGATCCTAACTTGTAAATAATTTCAACATAGTAAAAACTATAGTATTGTAAAAAGAAATTGATTTTTTTTTCTAATAGTAAATTTAAATGTAATTATTTTTTTTTAAATACAAAAACGTTTCTTTTATCAGTCTAGTATGACAAAATTTCATAATTTTGTAGCAAATTAAAAAAAATAAAAATGCAGATATGTATGGAAATTACTTAAATTTCAATAAAATTCATAACCAAAATCTAACCAGAATCTTAAAAAAATGGGTTTTTAACGATTTGTACAATGATTTCTACTATACCATTAATTTTTTTTACTATTCCTATATTTATTATGAGTTAGATAAAAAATTGCTTTAATTTTTAGTTTTGTTTTATTTAAACATAAATATTAAAATAAAAACAGCACGTTGTGGACGTGACATAGTTGGAACAAGTATAGATTATATTTGATAGTGATTAAAATCACTATGTTTCCTTGTTACACCTGTTTCCTTATTTATAACTCGAATATAAGTTTCATATAGAAGTGTAATATATGAATAAATATTTAATAAATTTAAATTTATTTATTAAATACTTAATAAATTTGTTCAACATCGACGGCCATTTGTACAAAGAAGATAGGTCGACGGGACATATTTTTTTTTAACTTATGGTACGTAACATAACCTTAAATAAACATATATTTAAAAGACGCAGTATTTCCAGAACATTTTCAAAAGTTAAGTTTAAAAAATTTACTTTTGTGAAAAAGTTACTCGTTATCTCTCTGTGGCCAAGTAAATAGTCAGGTTTTCAAAAAAATTATATCAAATGAAAGGGAAATACGTAAGTTATTTATATGAATAAAATTATTTTGGTATGTTCATTTTTTAAAAAGTTGTAAGCTTTAATTATCAAAATAACATTATAATAGAAGGTGATTTTTATACAAAAATTACTTTTTTGAAGAGCTGAGAAAAAGTGAGAACAGACATAAAAAAACACATCATAGTAAAATTAATACCTTCTCAACATTGCATTGTGGTTAAAAAGTAATCGATTTTCAGAAATTAGACATTAAAAAATTATTAATTTTAAAACTTCGGTTATTATTTTAATTAATATTTCTTATAAAATATTGTGATGGTGTCACGTTACCGTTATTGTAAAGAATTATTATAATAAAATACAAACAGCGCATCCGTTTCTAGAGACTGATGAATTGACGATTAATGATTATTGCAAAATTAGCAGTCGTCCGAATTACTATTTAAACCCAAAGGACCTGGCCATCTTAATCAGTCGATTCTAGTGCTTTGTGTCATTAATCAGTTTCAAAATTCGGTTGTCGCTGTCCGGCTTACTGTATTAAGTTAAGTCTTTTTTCTTCCTTTTTCACTTGCCCACTTTCGTCTTTTACATCTCAAAGTACTCGTGTCTTACACTTTATCAGCACCTCATAACTAGGTGCTACCCTTATTCCATTCTATAATAACAGCCTTTCGATACCCACAGCCATACCCAGAGTGTCAGCCAAACACAGTAACTGCTGTATGATCACATGTACGCGAATATACAGACAGCAGACTTATCATCTTCATACACACACTACTTTATACTTACTCTCATAGTAGGCTGTTTTGTGTTACGACAATATTAAAATTCAAACAAAGCTATCCTAAAATTAATACTATTTTCATTTCTTTAAATTAATCATGCGTTTAATTTGACAGAATATTTTTTCTATAATTTTTAGAATATTGGTAATTGATAAATAACCTAAATAATTAAAAGGGTCAATAATTATCTTAAATTGTGTAATAGAGTTTAAAATAAAGTAAGTTGGCTTAAATACTCTTAGGTCTATAATCTTCATATAGATTCAATCTTTAAGTAAACTTATTAGTAATCATGTAGATTTATTGTCAAAAAGTTTAATCTTGTCATATTTTACTTTTGATTTTTGGTTTACCAACTAAATCGCAAACGTTGTTTATTTTCAAATACTAAACACTCAATTTTTTAGAAGACGAATAATTGATATTCTGAATAGTAGTACAATAACAATAATTATTATTATTTATAAATTAATTAAGTTTTCCATAACACACTATAACTATTTTTTAATATTTGTTTAAAGAACATTGCCAAAACAAGACAAAATCCCATTAATAGTTATTTGTATTAATAACTATTTTAATTATCACTTTAAAAAATTTAAAAATACAAATTATATCAATTAATATTTTATCACTGAACAATTTATTTTAGTGTTTCTCTCTTTTTTTTTTAATTTCCAAATTCATAATAATTTATCGAGAAACAGTTAAATTCTTTGGATAGAAAATCATTAAAACTTTCATGAAAAATATAATCAAATGTGACTTAAAAAATTCATGCAATTTATCTAAACTCTTATCTCTAAGCTAAATAAAAAAACTTTTTTGTTTTG